GTTTGAGCATTTAATTCAAAAGAATTAAGGATTATGTTTTTTACCACAGCTAAATTATTACAGGAAGATCGCTTGGGAGTAAATCCATATTGATGATTTGATAGTAAGGAAGAACAGTGGCTTGATAATTTTGAGGAGACTAACTGCGAAAATAATTTCGGGATAATAGATAACTTAGAGATAGGACGATAGTTCGAAATTAATGAAGGGTCGCCTTTTTTTAAAATTGGAGAAATAAAAGAAGTTTTCCAAATAGAAGGGAATAAACCTTTTTTGAGAGATAACTTAAAGATATTTGTTAATATTGGAGTTAAGATAAATCTACAGTTATAGAGGAATATAGAGGGTATACCATCTGGGCCTACATTAGAGTTAAGTTTGATATTAGAGATTAAGTTAAGTACATCTAATTCAGTGAAGGAGATAGAATTTAGATTTATATCGGAATTTAAATTAATTTTATTAATATTTAGAGAAGAAGAATTAGGTGGCTGTTGAATATTAGAATAGGAATCTGAAAAATATTTCGCAAAAATATTAACAATATCAGTACCATTATTAACTATCGTTGTATCTAAAGATAAAGATTTAGGAAGTGCATTATTATTGGTAACATTTTTAATAAAAGACCAAAAATATTTTGGGTTATTTTTTATAGAGTGTTGAACATTATTTATATAATTTTTATAATCAGACTTAGCGAGCCTTTTACATTTAGCTCTTAAATGTGAAAAAGTAATATAGTCAGAGATATTATTGTATTGTTTATAGACAAGATGACAGATTTTTTTCTCTTTTTATAGCGATTTCAAATATTTATAGAATCATGCAAGATCATATAGAGACGATCAACTACGCCGTTAACATCTGATCAGATAGAGTTAATGATATTAAGTGAGTCGCCAATGTATTTAACGATTTTGACATAATCACAATTTTTAAAATCGTAAATTATATCATAAGTAGTCGATAAGATATTAAATTGTTCATATTTCAACGTGATATTAAGTGCTGGGTGGTGTTTATCAATAGGCAACAATGGGTCAGATTCATTAGAGACGGATAGGTGGATATTAGATAAGACTAAATCTAGAGTAACGTTATTGTTATTACGTAATAAATTAAATTGATTAAAATTAAACTGTGATAACATACTAATAAAATAAGAATCAATTGGAGAATTACATATTATTGGCAACGAATAAAGTGACCAATTTAAAGAGGGGAGATTAAAATCACCTAACAAGACAAATTTAGCTTTCGGGTTTGAAATAAAAAGTTCATTGACTGCTTTAAAAAATTGTTCATAAAGTGTTATAGGAGAGAGAGGAGGAATATAAACGCAACCTAGAATCAAAATATTAGGACCTAAATTAATTAACACAAATACATGTTCAACACTTTTAACAGAAACATTTAAGACTTTACAAATTAAGGTTGATTTAACTGCAATTAATACACCACCACCACGACCACTTGAGCTGTTGAGTGAAGATCTATCACAACGAAAAACTGTGTAATTAGAGAAGTTGAGTTCAGATATAGATGGATAGAGCCAGGTTTCCGTGAAAGCGATGATATCCAGACCGGAAGTACATAAAAGTGGAGTAAGAGTATTTAATTTTGACACTAGACTTCTAACATTTTGATAATAAAGTTGGAATTCGGTAAAACTTATTAGTTTTTTTGGACCGCGGAATTAACAATAGATGGAATGCCCTTGACGTATTTTATTGTTAGATTTGAATCACCACCATCCGAACGTCTCATATCTAATTCTTTACGCAGATTTTGAAAATACAAACGTTGTTTGGGAGTCTTGTCACTTGTTATTCTAACCGCATTGAAAATTTGATCAGATTTAAGTTTTCTCGAAGAACCCAAGGTCTTGAAAACATCAGAGGCGGAAGCTAGTGAAATTTTCAAAGGGCCAATCTTACCGTCAAATTTTCCGAGTCTCTGAATTGTGATCGGTTTAATGTCCAAAGCGAGTTTGGTAAAAATAAGATCGACTGTTGAGGAGTCCGAGTTATTGGAATCATCGGGCGCGTCAGGAACATTAAACAAAATTACATTTTTAGAGCGGGCTTGGCGGTCAACGAAGTCCGAGAATAAGTCTTCATCTGGAGTGGAGCGGTTAAGTTCAATGGCCTCAAGTCGAGCTGTTAAACTATTTAAATTATTATGGGGAAGAATATTGTCATCTTTGATTGTGGCTAATTGGGAAAAAACTTCGGTGAATTTTCGTTCAAACGCGTCTAATTTCGCAGTTTGTTTGTTAACGAGATTTATCAGTTTAGATTGTTCAAATTTTAAGAGGTTTAACTGTTTTAAGATCAACTTAACATCCGGTGAGGAAATATTGTCAGACTGGGTGTCTGATTTAGAATCTTTTTCTGGTTTTTTTGTAGTTTGAACATGACCAATTTTTTTTATATATAATTTAAATAGTCAATATCATCCTGATTAATTTTAACGCACTGTATGTGAAAAATACCATTACACGATAAACAGGTAATCGACCCGGTTTCACCTCGTTTTAAAGTAATCGCACAGACAACACACGAAACCATTATTAATATTAGGAACAAAGATAAGCGACGATACACCAAGATTACGTATAAACGTGTGCACACGACAACGGTTCGAAAACGACTGTAGATATGTAGATACTTGAACATTTTTAAATGTACGCGTAGTGCACTGGTGCCTTATATTTTTTACCTAGTCTGCCCGGCTATTTTTAAATTAGCTCGGCGCCACTGATTAGGGTGCTGGTGTAACGTTACTGCAGCACGGGAAAAATGGATTTTCCGCGGTGGAAATCAAGTCACGAATTCCGAATTTGTGGTTACAAATCGGTTACTAAACATTGATACTATTTTGGTTGCGATAAGGTCACTTCCCTTTAATTGGGGGGCTGGTGCAATGTTACCGCTGCACCCCCGGAAGAAAAATGGATTTTCCGCGGTGGAAATCAAGTTACGAATTCCGAATTTGTGGTTACGAATCGGTTACTAAACATTGGTTCAATTTTGGTTGCGATAAGTACACATCCCTTTAATTGGGGTGCTGGTGCAATGTTACCGCTGCACCCCCGGAAGAAAAATGGATTTTCCGTGGCGGAAATCAAGTTACGAATTCCGAATTTGTGGTTACGAATGGTTACGAATCGGTTACTAACTAATGATATGATTTACTTTGGAAAATTCTGACAAAGGGCGGCCAGGGTAACGTACCTGCCGGAAGGTTCAATTTTTTTTCACGAATATCGCGTTCTCAACTCAGTAGGTAAGTAGGTAGGTAGCAAGGCCGCCGGAATTTTTTTTCACTTTTTTTTTTATTATTACCTTTCGATTTCACTTCAGCCTTATCATATCATAACTAAAATTTTACGATTTTTTTCAAAATTCGAGTTTCACCGTCGATCGAGCACGCTTCAGTATTTCGCTCGAGTCGAGTGCCGCGGAGGAGATCGGAGAGCGGACAGTGTCGTTATTACTATAAACGGAAACGAAAATATGCGACGAAAAGTTCGATTTTTTTTCGTCATATAAATATGATTAACGGAAACGTTTCCGTGTTTTTCGGAGGATCATATGGAAACAAAATCCCAATCAGCTTATCGAGTTTCGCTTCTAAATCGCTCTACTACTATAAACGACAAAAACTATTAAACGTGGCCGCCCGACTTGCTAGACACTCAACAAATCACGGCGAATATATTACGACTAGCACGGGCGCCCGAAATGTTATTATTTATATACATTTGATTTACGTCATTTGGCGTTTTCATGCCTTGACCCGGACGTCGCACTATCCGACGAAGTCAGATTGCCTACCAGGGTTGCTACGTCCAACGTCGAGGAAGGTGACTGACCTGCTAGACACCAAAACATATACCAATTTTTTTGCACGTGACCTATTATTTAATTTTGCGTCAGAAGTCTAATGATGTTAGCATTAATATAATAAGTAATAACACGACAATATGATTATGTATAAGTATAATATATAATAACGTACAACTGGACAATTAAACTGTGACTATACACACACACCGCGTACACTCGGTATGACAGCGTCTGTGCAAGTGAATATTACATACATCAAAGGCCCTATATATATGCACGACCGAGGTCATGTTACATCCGTGAAGAAAGTGAGTCTTATGCTCGTACATAACTAGTTACTATATTGTACACACGTGTCAAGGCTGACTACATATACTACATATTAATTGTATATTTCAACAATCAGAACTTACATAAGTTCAAAATTTTTAAGCCTGTTGGGCATACGTTTTTGACGCGTCGGACGCGACCCCCCTTCAGTCAGTTTACCTTGCGTTGTAGTCTCGTCTACCTCCGGTTGATCCTCATCGGAGCGCGCGCCGTGGGTCGTTGACCTCTCTGTCTCCGGCTGATCCTCCTCGTCGGACTCCTCTCCTTCGTCCCCTGGCTCACTGAGAATCTTCCACGATTTCAGTTGCGACACGTGGGCAGTCATCGCGTATAATTCTTTTCCGTCGCTTGCGATTTCGGTGACACGATAGGTGTCGGACGGCAAAACTTCGATGACTTGAAGTGGTCGTTCCCGATACTTCTCTTGCAGTTTGACGGTTGTTCCGGTGTCGGTTGCCGCAACATCACCACAACTTCACCGATGTCGAATTTTATACCGTCGATACGTTTTAAGTCGTAGGTTTTTTTCATCCGTTGCTGCCCGTTGATAATATTTTTTTGCACTAACTGATGCATTTCGAGCGGCTCGACCCACTCGTTCCTAGTCAGGCTGAGACTGGACAACGTACCACCGTGTAATCGGGGCTGATAGCCGTGTAACGCCTCGAAGGGCGACTTCGTAGTGGTTTTGTTAGGCGCGGAGTAGAGGAACCGTTCGATCTCTCCAATTTTCGCTTCCCAACGTCGTTGGTTCTCCGTAGACATACTTAATATCGGCGTAATAGTTCGATTTGCCCACTCGACCTGTCCGTTGGCCTAAGGGTGTCTTGTCGAGTTTAATGTATGGTTTATCTCTCGGGATCGGCAGAACTCTTGGAAGGCGTTCGCGGTGAAGCACGAACCGCGGTCACTTATTATACGTTCGGGCATTCCTCGTTCATCGCAGAATTTGACCATGTTTCGGATCACGCCAGCCGTGTCGGTCGAACGGCACGGGCACAGGTGAATATACTTAGTCAGATTGTCGGTGACCACTAGTAAATACCTGTTCGATTTTGTACTCGTCTCGAAGGGACCCAAGTGATTGACGTGTATCACCTGAAACGGTCTCTGTCCGGTCGGAATCGGATGTAGCAAACCTGTTTTCTTTCCGGAGGTGCGTTTATGGACCAAGCAATCGAGGCACATGCGAACGTGTTGACGTACGTACCGTCTCAATCCAGCGAACCAATAATCCCTCGTGATTATTGTTATTATTCGCTCCACGGCGTGATAACCCCCGTAGTCGTTTGCGCCAATGACCACGCCTTTCCTCATCGTTTATGGCACCACCGACAACGCTCTCCCTTCGTGGAGCCGGTACAGAACTCCACCCGTGAGCTGGTAATCCTTCACCATCCCTTTTTCGGCAACGGTCAATTCTGTATCTGTCTGAAGTAGGTTAATCAGTAATTTAGTTTTTTCGTCAGACTGTTGCATGAACCTAACACGGTCGGTTGGAGATAATGCTACTAAAACGTCCAATCTTTTTGACAGGTCGGCCTCCACCGAGCTGATGTCATCTTGTTCGCCATCATTGACTCTGCTCAGCGCGTCTACGTGTGCCATACGAGTCCCCGGCCGGTATTTGATCTCGAAATCAAACTCCTGTAGCACTTCGAACCATCGTGCTACATGTGGTTTCGTGGTTTTGTGCACGTTAAGGTAAACGAGTGATTGACAGTCTGTCAGAATAGTAAATCGTATACCAAGCAAAAACGGTCTCAACCGGTCGAGCGTCCATATCACCGCGTACAGTTCGAGGCGGCTAGAATGGTATCGCGATTCTGCGTCGGTCGTTTTTTTACTCACTGCGTAAACCATATGCAATATGTTGGGCGTTAATCCTTGCAATAGGACTCCGGACAGCGCCACACTGCTCGCGTCGGTGTATACCTGGGTAACCGGTGCCGTCGGATTGTACATAGCGACCACTGGTTCACTACACAGTATTCGCTTAAGTTCGTCGAACGACTGTTGTTGTTCATTTCCCCAGGTGAACGCCGTGTCCTTACAGGTAAGTATCGTTAACGGTGTCGCTAGTTTTGAGTAGTTTTGCAATAAAACGTCTAAAATAACCGGCGAGTCCGAGGAAGCGTCGAACCTCATGCTCATTTTTCGGTCGCGGAAACGTGGATATGACCTCTGTCTTCTTATCCGGTTGTATTGTCCCTTTTGATATTTGAAATCCCAATTATTCCAAACGGTCAAATCCCAAAGTGCACTTATTGGGCTTGTGGCGAACCGTCGCCACATGACCTCCTTCCGTCGTCGGCGACATTGTAAAGCGGTTGGTCACATTGTTTTCGCGCCCAGAGCCGGCCTCCACGCCGCCGCGGCGGCCGGCGCTCGTCCTTTTTTTTTCTTCCGTAACCGTCAACCGACACGTACACCGTCCACTCCGAGTACCGACGGCATCTTTTGCCGTTTACGAAACACGCTACATACACCACGAAACCCACGTGACCGACCGCTCACTTTCGATCATCGATCGACATAACTGTAAATACACACATCCGAATTGCATTAATTTAATAAACATGCCTTTGTACAGCAAACCATTCTTTTTCTTGCACAAACTCCGCTCGAATACTGACTTAATCGTACGAACGTTGGAGGACGCCCGCGATAACGGCGGAACCTCCACATTGGTGACCTCGAGTATTCTTTTTTCTTATTTCGACGGGTACGAAGTCGAAAACCGTCGTATCCGAGGCCCGCGCCAAGTGCTCCCGCGCCTTTCGGAAAACACGTGTACCGCAGTGTTCGCGTCGCGCCCGGTCGCACCTTCGTCTCAATTTTTTTCCTTTCCGCGTTAAAACCGTCATGAACGACGACGCACAGGCAAACAACCCGAACGCCAACGTCGTCGGGAACCCAGCCGTCGAGGCAATTTCGACCATGCGGCTCCCGGCTTTTTGGAAACGATCCCCGGCCCTCTGGTTTACCTACGCGGTGTCCATGTTGGCGACTCAGCGTATTTCGACGAACGTGAGCAAAATTAACTTCGTCGTCAGCTCCTTGGACGAAGAGGCAGTGCGTAACATCGGCGACCTCTTGAACACGGCCGCCCCGTATACCGACATTCTCACCGGTCTCATCAGCGTCTATGAAGTTCCGAGATAACTGCTCTTCCGCGAAATCGTCAAACCTGGAGGCTTGGGAGACCGCCGACCTTCGCAACTACTTCGTGACATGTGCAGCAGCATGCCTCCCGGCATAGGCGAAGACGCCTTGAAAGAATTTTGGCTACAGAAACTTCCGTCGAACGTTACGGCCATCATCGCCGGCCTCGTCGCGCCGTTGGACGACCTGGCCACGCGCGCGGACCGAATTTTGGAAGCTTCCAATCCGCAGAGCGTCGACGCGCTGTCTAAGGAGCAGTTCAATGACCTGGCCAGTTATGTGTCTGCGCTGTCCCTGCAGGTACAGTCCCTTACGAAAATCGTCAGCTCCACTGGAGGGTGCAGCAGCCGGGGCAACCATGCTACTACCACGCGAGGTTCGGCAGTAAAGCGCGCTCGTAACGCCAGCCGTGCAGCGTCAAACCGGATTCACGGGAGAGTGCCGCTTCCGCACCTGCGGAAAACTGAAAGGCGCGCACAGGACACCCGCCCTGTACGCCGTTAGTAGCACTACGCGGGTACACATCAACGACCAACGTTCCGGCAAGCTGTTCCTCATCGACACGGGCGACGAGATTTCGGTGATTCCACACAACTACGGCTGGCGCCAGCCGTCCGACGTGCAACTCACAGCGGCAAACGGAACACGAATCAAGACGTTCGGACCGAAAACTCTCATCCTCGACCTGGGGCTCACGCGCACATTTACATGGACCTTTGAGATGGCAGGTGTTTCGCGCTCAATCATCGGAGCTAATTTTTTACACTACTTCGGCCTACTCGTCGACCGCACCGACAAACGAGCGGTCACCTGTGCAGTGACCTCCACACCGTCGACAGGCACCTCCCTTTCCACCGTCGCCCGCGCTCCGGATTGGGATCGATTGCTACGGGACTTTCCAAGCGTGACCCGTGAGTCGCCCGTTCCCGAATCATTTTGACACGGGGTTGAGCACGTCCTCGAAACAAAAGGACCTCCCCTTTTCGCGCGCCCGCGACGACTGCCACCCGATCGACTCGACATCGAGGGCCGCGATTTCCAACTCATGCAGGAACAAGGAATTTGCCGACCGTCTTCCAGCGCTTGGGCTAGCCCTCTCTTATTGGTTCCCAAGAAGGACGGGTCTTTCCGACCGTGCGGTGATTATCGTCGACTTGATTATTATCGATCGACATGATTATTAAAAAAATCGGTTAAGTCACTCTAGCTATGCTCAGTGATTGTGGAAGTTTGTTTGTTCATCGTCCTTTCGGTCCTCGGACAGGATACTGTATTATTATATTCGATTTGAATCGAGATTTGAATGCAATGATTGCATTCGATAAAAAACGATTCTGAACGGAGTTCGGAATGGACCGGTCCCCACCTATCGACGCACACACACACGCACACGTGAACGCACTAATGACGTCATGGTAAGTGGTAACATTCTCGGTGTCGGACAAATTAACAGAATGACCTCCCGCCATAAGACATATACTCGGACATATACATGTCAAAAATAAACATCCGTAAACATCATTGTAAAACCATAAGATCCTTCGCTCCACTCAGAATCTAAAATGCTTACTATATTAAGTAAGTAACAAGTGCCCACTCGTGTTTTTGTTAAAATTAAAACGAATACAAACTACCATAAGACCGACATATTATCATATTATAATATTATCATATTATATCGAGTATTATATTATATTCTATAGCTCTATGTTGTCTCGCATATGGCCATAACTCTATGGAATAAAACGTCTAAAAAAATAATCTAAAAATAATTATTTGTGTTCAGTTATTAGTGATTATAGGAATACTATAAACGGGACTCGCGACGGGACTATAAACTATCTAAAAAAAATCTCGATTTTTTTATCATACGTACAATCGAGCGTACAATTGTAATACTATATGGACATGGACTAATAGCGTTTTCGATTTGGTGAATTTTTTTTGCACCAAGTTCAAACTGACTTAGTGTTTTATGTGACACACGCACAGTCACGTATAATTGTTTTATTTTTGTATTAATTACCGTGTCTTGTGAATTATGTAATGTATAGAATATAGATTATAAGTTGATCGTCGCTGCCGCCATACCGTCTGAGCGAATTATTATTATTTAAGACGGCCGCCCAGGCAACCAGTCCGTTCCGTAGTACCGAAGTAAAATGGTACCTATTTAAACGTGCGCTAATCGCCGTTTGTAATTTAACATATAATATTTTTTGTGAGGCGCTAATCGCCATAATCTTTATAATAATATAACTATTTTACCTTATATTATATTGTTTTGTCGGCGCAAATCGCTGCGATTATATTGTTTCGGTCTGCGCGAATCGCCAAATTTATTATACCTTTTTACGTGCGCGAATCGCCGTTTTAATTATATTGTCCAAGGCGCTAATCGACACTTATTTTATTATATATTTTTAATCTGTCATTAGTTTTCTGTGTGAGTGTGTGAATTTTTCCTATTATATAGCTAGGACCAGCTGGCCAGACTGTGCTCCACCAAATTGTGAGTTTTTTATTGTTATTTATTATATTATACATATTCATTAGTAGGCCAAAATTGTTACCTACATACTTTATTACTCTGTTGGGCCAGAAGGGCTACATATTATTTGTTAGATTATTTTTACCTTGCGGTTGCTGTGAGTTATATTTTATTTTGTGTATTATTTTGAATTATTTATCTAGACACGCGATAGCGTGTCAAGCCAAGTTCTAGCTAACAGAACTGACGAGCAGCACCGTGTGTAATATTACACGAACCATTTGGAGCCACTTTTGACCCCCTCATAACTCAAAAACTATTCCACATAAACATGTCAAATTTGGCTCATATATTGAGACTAACGAGATACATATGTGCTCTAAATTTCATAAACACACTTCAAACCGTTATTTAGATATTAACGTCCGAAAATCGTCATTTTTATCACTGACTTACCTATAGATCAAAATTCTAACCCAGTTCCAGATGACCTAGAAAGTTCAAATTTTGCATACAGATAGGTAGTTAGGTAAATACAAAGGAAAAAATCAGAAACTTGAAAATTTTTTAATTTTTAATTTTTAATTTTTAAGTTTTTAATCAATTGATTTTATTATAATTTTGCAATTATTTTATCTATTATGTTTAATTTTTCAATTTATTAATGAATTGCCTCTAATTTAATGTAATGTAATGTTATGTTGACTTAAATAACCTTTCCCGTATCGCCGCTCCAAAAATACGACTAGCCGAATATGTGTCGATATTGTCGACCCGCGCGCAGCAACATACTTTTTTTTCTATCTATGTATGTAATTAATATAATTTTTTTTAAATATTACAATTAAAATAATTAAATAATTATTATTACAAATTATGAATTATCCACCCAACAGTAGAAACTACAGTCAATAAAATTATGATAATTAAAAATATACTCAAAAAGAGTTAAAATAATTGTATATTAATTTTACATTTCGGTAGGTACTAATATTTATAATATATAACCTATATATATAACCTATGTTATATAAGAAAATAACATCACATATTACTAAAGTAATCACATATAAATAATTTAGTAAGTATCTTACCGTCTATATTATATCTGATATTATAGGAGTCACCATCTGTGGCCACCTTAAGAATTTTTTTCTATTAATATTTAATTATTCTATCAACGCAATCATTAAAAAAAAAATTGAAAATTGACCATTTATACCCTTCATAAGTTCAATAATACTTGGTTTGAATTTTAAATAGTCTTAAGAACATTATTATTGATTATTGAATGAGAAATTTGTATTAATATTTTAAAATAGAATTTTTCCTTTCTATGGCCATATCTCTATAAACAGTCATCATTTTTCCCATTTATGGTCAATGTAAATATATTTTATATTTGACAAATAATACAAGTTCATTAATGAAATTATTAAATACAAACAAATATGACAGGAACTCATATTTTACTAAAACAAATTATGTAAATAAAAACAAATAAGTTATAAGTATACTAAACAGTTTGGTAACTTATATTTAAACTTTAATCCAGCTATAAATTTATGAATAAATTGAACAACTTTTTTAACATTTTATGAAATTAATAATCAACACTTGGTAATATTTAGGAAATGAT